TAATATTTATACAACTCAAACTTATGTTAATATTCATATATTCTAGGACAAAAACAATTAGAAGACAACCTATTATCAATGGAGGAATAAATGTAGAAATTGGCAATCCATCTTATAACATGTATGAGGTAGATCATGATCACAACGATGGAGGTCTTTTAGACCCTGGCTTTATGATAGATCCAACAAAGGTAATATGTCTTAAAATAATGGACAGTGAGAATTAACATTCCTGAGCCATATCTCTATTATATGGTTCTGAACTTTATCATGCTTTTCTTTTATCTGAAGTTATAATGAAGGAGTTTAGGATGTGTTGAATGATATAGCCTCTTCTGACGAAAAAGTACAATCATGGACTTCATTTGAAGCATGCAAGCTAATATAACATGCTTTAGAAAACACATATTGATTTATTCACTTAGCTTATACATTTGTATTATTTATTTTTATTTCTCTATGAATTTTATTGGAAAAATGATTTATTAACTAACCTATGTTCACTCAAAGCAAACTAAAAAGCCATTTAAAAATTGTTTTAATATTGATACCAAACACTAAAATGTTTAGGTCTCCTCCAGTGTGTAGCTAGGTAGATAGATACATAGATAGATAAACATCTAATATAAAGCAAAACTACTGACTTTCAAGGGAGTAACATATACAGGGAGAAGATCAAAACATGCACAGTCTCTACCACTATGTCTGCCATGTAGTTCAATAAGGCATTTCCTTTTCTACTCTCTTCCTTACAGTGTTATTGGATAATTATGTATTAATAGTTCTGTGGGGTTTTGGTTTGGTAGGAAATGGATAGTTACAGCATAGTTTTGTTTTCATTGTTCTGGATAGTGCATTGTTGTTTTAAAACATTACTTATTTACTTTAATTTTGTTTTTAATTGACACATAAATGTGCAACCAGTCTGTCAAAGAGATGTCTGTACTCCCGTGTTTATTGCAGCACTGTTCATAATAGCCTAGATAAGGAATCAACCTAAACATCTATCAACAGATAGTTAAAGAAAATGTGGTATATATGCACGATGGTATACTATTCAGCCACAAAGAAAGAAAGAAATCTTTTCATTTGAAGCAACATGGATGAACCTGGAGGATGTTATGTTAAGTGAAATAAACCAGGCACAGAAAGACAAATGACACATGATCTCACTCATACGTGGAATCTAAAGCAGTTGCTTTGGTATAAGTAAAGAGTAGGGTGGTGGTTTCCAGAGGATGGGCAAGGGAAGAAGGAGGGGGGCAACAGGGAGAGATTGGTTAATGGGTACAAAGTTACTGTTAGAGAGGAGGAATAAATTCTTGTGGGTGACTATGGTTAACAATATTTTATTATATATTTCAAAATAGCTAGAAGAGGGACTTTTA